CATATATACATATAATACCTATCGTATCGTGTTTTCTCACATGCGAGAAAACAACTCTCACGCGATAATTATCTCTATACCTTTAAAATTTATTGATAATCGAGATACGAAGTTTCTAACATGTAGTTTGAACGTATAACTCTGCTGCTTGCGCAAAATGGTCATGTACATTTTCATGCAAATAAAATACAGTATCAATTATGATTACCAAAAAGTATAATTATTTCTCAAGCCAATTATTAAGAAATGATTTTACCTGCTGTAATCAAACTCATTAACCATATCATTCTGGAATAATATTAAGTAAATAATTTATACAAATAACCAAAATGTGTAAATTATGATATTTAAAAAATCACAAATTAATAAATAATTTTCGAAATTAAATGTTTGTTTATAATTAATTTTTCAAATAGCTTTTTCATACTTTATTAATAATAATTAGTAAATAATTAATAAATTTTACTTTAATTAATAGTTAGCATCTTACTTTAATCACATTAATAATTAATAAAATCTTATTTAATAATTTCAAACTTATTTTAAAAATAAATTTTGAATATTTATAAATATAAAATATTTTTAAATATAATTTAATTCAACAGATAATATTAAAATAGACGATATTTAAAATATAAATCACATAAACCAGATATTGCAATTATTACATTTTAAATCTTATATATGTACATCATTATGTTTGGTCATACATATCTCCAAAACGCTTTTACAATATATACAAATTAATATTATTTTATATTTAAGAATGACTAACAATTACTATCTTATCGATAAATTCGTTTATCAAAATTATGTGCGCGATTATATTTAAATAATTTATGTTTACATATTTTCTAATTTTAATGCTTTTTGCTTTTTCTTGTTCGAAATCAACGTACATGGTTTGAAAATTTCCATACTAATTATAAGTCATAGATCTCTAATTTTCATTATTGCGCTCGCCCGCATAAGTCCGACCCTCATAGCAAGTTGACTGTGTACTCTTTAAAAAATCATAACAAATTTTCATTATTTATCAGGTAAGTTGCCATTTTCAAGCGCTTTTTTATATGCAATATTATGTATTTTAATTTTCAAGCTTTTATTATTCTGCTAATTTTTATGATAATATTATATTGTATTAAACAGATTATAATTTTTTAAAGTTATTTACGTTTCATTAATTTAAAATCTTGCCTTTTACTAATATATATTTTCCAAAAGAATAGATATATATTTCATTGATATAAAATATAAAAATTCTTTAATTACTGTATATTTATGTAAAATTATGAGGAACAACTGTTTTTGCGCATCCTAGCACAATAACAAATTATTGCAATGTTTTCCTTCTTACTTTATTAAACTTTCAATTAAGATTGGATAATACAACATTACCCGATCTTAATTGAAAACTTAATAAAGTAAAAAGGAAAACATTGCAATGGTTTGTTATTGCGATAGAATGCAAGAACAGTGTTCCTAATAATTTTACATAAATACACACTAATTAGCTTACATAAGATATTAAATGTTTTTTGTTAATTATTATAAATGTTTCGTTAACATTTGTCAATAGACCATCGAAGTGGAAATGGTTGTACCGCCTGACGGAGGATGGGGCTGGGTGATTGTTGCAGCCTCCTTTATGTGCAACTTTTTCGTCGACGGTATCATTTTCAGTTTTGGCGTATTTCTCAACGACATCGCAGATGCGTTCTCTGTTTCGAAAGCGAGTGTTGCATTCGTTAACTCGTTACAGAGCGGATTTTATCTTATGGCGGGTTAGTAATGACACGTACGTAATATTTAATAGCAGATCTATGTATTAACAGTAAAATCATTTATATTTGAAATTTATATTTTAAGTAAATAATTTTACTTAATAATTTTACTTAATAATAATTAAAAAGTCGGATGTATATATATATATTTAATATTTAAAAAATATAACAACTTTTTACAAGATTCTTTGCAAAATAAAAAGTTTCATGAACTTAGAGAATTTTTAAATAAATTTTCATTTTTATATCTTTTTAAAACTTCGAGAGAGAGAGAGAGAGAGAGAGAGAGAGAGAGAGAGGTGTGCCTACCAAATAAATTCATAGTGCAGAGGCAAAGAAAACTTTTAAGTTATAAATGAGTGACTGCTTTAAAAAAATACATAAAATAATTTTTATTATTTTAAGATTAACCATAAAATTATAAATTCAAAAGCTATCAATCTGTATAAAAAAAATTATTAAAAGTCATTCCATACATAACGGCAAACAAAATTTTTAATACATTCTCATTCCAGCAGTAATTGAATGTCTATCGCATAACAATATGTCATATCAAAGAAACTGCATTTCATTGGAATATTATATTGCATAAAAATGTAGTATCTAATTAATAAGTAAGTAAATTCTTGAATAATTTATCATGTTTACGAAAAATATAAATACACAATATGTCGTATTTTAATCTCTGAATTCTTTCACAAGTCCTATATTTTAAAATTGGAATACTGTATGATCTTTAGAATTTACATTTCTTTGACATATCATGTCACAATGTTGACGCAACACGTTTTGTACAAGACACTGAAAATATGATAAGGAATATAGCTGTATTTCTGCTGAATGTACGTAACTGATAAGTTTGTTTGTACAATATAACGATATAATATGCTCGTATGTGGAATCTTCTTGATATATATCGAGTCGATAAAGTTGTATATATATTGTGTGATGTACACTTGTGTTCACACCAAGTTAGCATTGCAATAAGCAACCGTTTATATGACCAGTCTCAAGGATCTTCGCAGTGCAAGAAATATAAATATACAGGAACATTTCCATTTGGCGTTCAATTTATCGTCAAACTCGTTCAACAACATTTCATGCGTTTAAATTCGCGATCTCATATTCACGATGGTGACATCGATAATTAACAATTACATTTCGTAAATGCTAAACATAAATATTTAATTATATTATATGCGTAGTATGTAATCATTCGAAAGTAAGATTTGAAGGGAAATACACGACAGTAATGTATATGTCACTTTGGGAAAATTATATAGCACGAATCCTTCATGTACAGAACATCTATAATCAGTTTCAGCGATATAAACACGTAGCAAAATTGGAGCTAACTATCCGTGATAAAGAGACGTAAGCTGCAATTTATCCTTAATGTTGTGGAAACTATACATTCCGTTCGAAACAAATTAGAAATTATTTATGCACAGTAGTTTATGTTTGCATTTTATGCATGTAGTTCTTTTTACTATTATGTAATACAAAAATTAGCTAATGATAGATTAGAATTGAAATTATGCATAAAATTAATCAAAATAGATATAAATAAAAATATAAATCAAAGTAGAAAATCTCCATAAGCATTTTAAATTTACAATTTATACGCTTTTTATTTATAATTTTATAAATTTTTTTTAATGACATCTCGAATTTATATTTCTAATTATGTCATAAAACGTGCAAGATATTTTTTTAAATATACAGTTCTAAATTCGACATAATTTTATATTACATAACATCGTTATTATATTAACATTATATAATACCCATTAAAAGAATCAGTTATACAAACATATATTGTTGTATGTATATTGTTGTGCAACTTGTTTGCCATTATAATAATGACATTTGCGCTAAGTTACGTACAGTCGAACAGTCAATATACGTAATAATTAACATATTTTTGAATAAAGGAAAAAAAAAAGAAACTAGGATCACACACATATATCGATAAAAAGCGTATAAGGAGTGATGCACGAAAATTTGCACGTTTTCATTCAATCAGATATTTAAAAGTTAAAATTCTCAAGTTATCGGTGAAGCGACAACTTTGTGAATTAAATTATCGCTTTTCTCAGGTCCCTTCGTATCCGCCCTCGCCAATCGATACGGCTTTAGACTGGTGGCGATATTAGGAAGTGTGATAAGCTGCGCCGCCTTCGTCCTCGCGTACTTCAGCACTTCTATCGAATTCCTTTACATTTCTTATGGTGCCATCGGTAAGTTCTTTTCTCTGTCTCGGATATGTCTTGTCGAGGTACTTGGCGTCTCCGCCGAGAGTTGTTTTTGTCAATTTCTCTTACATACGCGATATTGCCAACTGTTTTATCCAATCCTGTGGAAAATCCTGTCGAGGATTTGTATTCCGGTTTTATAACTCTTAACGGCAGTGTTATTATCATATTATCGCACAATTTTTTTTACTATGTATGATATTTGCTCAACAACAATATCGACACTAACATTAAGGATACAAAAAGCGGAGTATTGGTCCGCATTTATCACCGATATTTAAATATCAACATTGATTAAAAATGTCATTTTAATCATTTTAAGAATTATAAAAAGAATGCGAATTCAAATAGATTTCAAAATAATTTAAAGTTAATATTATATATTACAGTAATAATACTATATATTAAAGATTAGAATCTGCATTGTAAACAAATTTTCTAAATTCTTTGGAATGAATTCTCACTCTAAAGAGTAAAAATTGAGGAAGTCTTAAAAAAGAGTGGTTCAATTTTCACTCTTTAAGAATGAAATTTCACTTTTCAGAGTGAGCGTTCATTCTAAAAGTTTCAGAGAGAAAATTGAATAGGTATCTAAGATTTCTTAATAAAGATTGCTTCATATATTTTTTAACAAATCAATATTATATTTATGTAAGTTTTTTTTTAAGATAAAAACTTTTTTCCTTAGGTGGCATTGGGGCAGGTCTAATATACGTGCCGGCCGTGATAACTACCGGTTTTTATTTTGAAAAATGGCGGGCCTTAGCCACAGGTATCGCAGTATGTGGTTCCGGTATCGGTGCATTTTTGCTCGCACCGCTTTCGAATATACTCTTAAAAACTTTTGGTTGGAGAGGAGCTTTTCTGTGTCAAGCAGGTGAATATTGATTTATTTAAAAAAAGGAAGTCATGTATTTAAAGAAGACTGCTAAATTGGAGACTGAAAGCAATATAATTTTAATTAAAATTTAATTTTTTGCTATAGAAGTAAATAATGCACATTTTAATTAAAATTTTAATTAAAATTACAAGTATATATTGCCATTCATATAACATCGATACAAAAAATTTGAATTCATCGAAATTATGTGAACAGCAATTCTTACAATTTTAATTAAAAATTTAATTAATATATATTTCTATGTGAAATATTCCTCTGTTTTTATAAAAATATTATGATATAAATTATTCAATTATAAACGATTGGTTTTTTTCCCCCGCAGAAAAATTGAATAAATTCATTGAGTCTATCATAAAAATAAAAACGCTTTATTATTATATATCTACATTATGCAATTGGCACAATAAAAAAGAGTAATAAAAAATTACTTCTTTTTTTCCTCCAATTTTTCTTAACTAAACTTTCAATTAAATTTGCTGATTCTGTGATTTTATCAGTGTTGCTCATCAAAGAAAAATGATAGTAACATGACTGCCCTTTTCCTTAATATCATGGTACGTCACGTACATTTGCTTAGATAATATAGATTTGCATGAATAACATAAACGGTTCAGGTATGCATATCGCTTACGCCAAGAGAAAAGTCAGATCATGCAAGATAAAATTAACGTCTAAAAGATACCGTTTGATTGAGTAGTCAGTTGTGAAACTATACGAAATGCTTATTACGTCCGTACAATTTTATTTCGCGATTCATGAACTGACGTTTGTATGTAATCAACTGTCAAATATGTTTATGTTAAAGCCTTCAGAAGTCTAATATTAAATGTGTAGAAAACAGTCAATTATAGTATTCACGATAATAATCTATTTCGCATATTATGCGTCATAAATAAATATGTTATTAAATAGAAATTTATATACTAATAGATTATAATGTGATATACCTGTATGTGTATATAAATATATAAATATATATTTATATATATATATATATTAATGTTGAGTAAAATAAAGATTTAGATAATAATAATTTTATCAGCTTTTGACATCTAACGGAAAAAAACGGTTTACGCGATTTTCAGGTATGTTATTACATTGTGCCATATTCGGCGCGATGTTTCGTCCTCTGAAACCAACGAGGATTAAGGTAAAGAACACTCCGGAAAACGCTGCGCTCGAGGTGAAAACTACGTTGATAGGAAAAGGTGTGTCTACGACCTCGTTGCACTGTGTGCAGCCGAACAGAAGCGGATTCTTCGGCACGAATAATAATACGGAATACCCGACGGCGGCAGAACTCCTCGGCAGCAGCCCTAACATAGTAAAGTAATAAACGAAAGATCTTATTTGCACTAATACTTGGCAATTTTCTCTTAATGCGTCAGTTCCTCAATGGAATGTTTCCTGTTTAGCGCATCCAAATCCCTGCATTCGTTGCACAAGGTGCATGTGGAGACTCAAATCTTGGAGAGAAATGTAAGCACTTCAGAGAAACGGTTATCCGCGCCAATATATCCTGCGGATGGTCCCGATTTGGATGCTATGACTAACGAAGAGAAGATTGCTGAGGAGAATAATCTGCTCAGTGGCGACTTAGAACGATTGAATGGGAAAGTACCGACGGTAAGATCAACATATATATATATATGGAGAATGCACATATCTTAGGAGAATGGAAAATTTGAACAAACAGATCGATCGTGAGATAAATTTTTCGTCATCGAATTTTGTGCTGAAATTTTAAGAGAAATAAAGAACAAAAATATAAAAGATTCCTATTAATAAAAAAAATATGATAGAAATTCAAGGATATCAAGGATGATGATATCTATTATAATCCGTTTGAGATATACGAATAATTTTAATTAAATATAAAGTAGAGAGTTATTTGTCATATCTTGCGCGATTCAATTTTATGATACAAAACTAATCGGTCGGTTGATTGCAGTAAAAAAAAATTGCAAAATTAAATAATTATGTCGAACTTGATCGATGACCGAAACTTTCAATTAGTTCGAGTTCTCGCGAATTTCGTTTTTGTCTTTTGCATTTCAAAGTAAAGTAGGTACATCTGAAATATATGGATGTAGAAGAAAAATATATGTTAACTTTTGCCAAGAGAGAGAAACGAAAATTTAGTATTTCCGAAGCTACGAGTGCCAATTCTATGACCTGGAAAATCTTACAAATACTTGTGAATTAATTATTTTCGTAAACATCTCTGTTTAACAATCTATGAAAAAAAGTCTAATATGTGATGTCAAATGCGAAAAACAATAGAAAATAGATTATTCTTCAGAAAATAAAAAAATTTTATTTTCTCCGATTTAGATTCGTCGACATACGATAAGTCGTCTCCGAACGAATTCAGAATGCAGCCAAAAATCTCTTCGAATAGGCAAACGTAACTCGAAAGATCCACAGAGACCATTCTACAGAGACGATATCTTCTACGGCGGCTCTTTGAATAGACTTCCTCATTATAGGTCTCAGGTAAGTTTTATTATCGCGAATATATTCCCGTAATGTACTTTTAAATTTTCTCATTATGTATATAAGATATATAATACTAAAGTGTACAAAAATTTTATAATTGTGCAAAGAATAAAATACGAGCAATTTAAATGGTTAACCGATATTTTACTTCCTTTTATTTATATTTCTGTGAAAGAACATAAAATATGTTCTTTCATATATATGTCACATGATACTAATATATACAAAAATTTTATAATTTTTTTTGTATAAAGAGTATAAAATCAGAGTGATTTAATGGTTAACCGATATTTTGCTTTCTTCTATTTGTGCTTCTACGAGAGAACATAAAATATATTCTCTCACATATATATGTGTATAATACTAATGCATACAAAAATTTTATAATTCTTTTTTGTGCAAAGAATAAAATCAGAGCGATTTAAATGATTAATCGATATTTCTTTTAGTTATACGTCTACAAAAACGTAAAATAATAAGTAAACTAAAATTAAACCGATGTCGTAGAATTTCTGAGATCACATTTAAAGAAACCGTTTTACTTAAAATATAAAGAAACGATGTGATTTTCCAGCAATCGTCAGTCGGTTATCACATGTCAGTGACGCGATTGCCAACGGCAAAGGATGTGGCAGAGGAAGAAAGCGGAAGTTTCTACCTGTGTCCGGAAAGTGTGCGACGAATTTTGACTACAATGCTCGATTTGAGCCTCCTAAAAAGTCCGTCCTTTTTAATATTAGCGATCTCTGGTGGGCTCACCATGATGGGCTTTTATACACCCTTTTTATATGTGACAGGTATATCAAATAATTAATACTTATTCTTTACAATTTTTTATCACGTTTAAAAAATAAACGACTTTTCAAGGGAATTTTTCAGAAGTAGAATCGTCCATAACATTTTTCCGATAATATAACAATTACGATTCAGAAAGTAAAATAGTTATTATAAACAAAATAATTTAATTTCTATATTTAATAAAGTTAAAATATTTTAATTATTTTACTGTTAAATTTTTAATCGTCACATTATTAAAACTATTTATTTATTGCCATTAACTATTTGTTTTGGATTTACAATATAAGATGTTAAAATATATATCCCGTTTATATATAATTAATGTTTATTGTATTTTCGTAATACCCATTTTTGTGCAACATTTCTTATACTTAAGACTTGAGGAAAAAATTATTTCATGTATCTTCTTTACAGATCGAGCAATAAAGGCCAATATTGACGCTTCTACGGCGATGTTCCTTGTTTCGGTAATCGGTATCGGTAATACCATCGGTCGTATCGTTTGCGGCTTAGCAAGCAGTTTGCCCGGAGTTAATGCTCTAGTCGTGAACAATATATTTATTAGCGTCGGTGGTTTAGTAACTATACTTTCTGGCCTTTCTTTAACCGAGGGATATCAATTCTTTTACGCAGCCAGCTTTGGCATCAGTATATGTAAGCAGAATACGTGAAATTTTCAATTGTTTTAACTGAATAAAAACAAAAGGATAATATACATCTTATACGTAAAAATCTTATAGATGTATTTTACCATTTTGTCTTATTTATACGCAATATTTTCATTTAAAATTTATAAGCTAATTTTAATTGTATTTGTTGGATCTGTAAAATGTATCAGATATTTTTTCGCAGCCGTCTTTGCTTCCCTCAGATCGATCCTCGTTGTGGATCTGTTGGGCTTAGAGAAACTAACAAATGCTTTTGGGCTGCTTCTTCTATTCCAAGGTGTGGCAGCGACTGTGGGCGCGCCTCTCGCAGGTAATTACAATGATATCGATCACGAAATATATGACATTGCAAAAAGCAGATCGGAATGCCGATCGCTTTTAAAGCAAGGCGCTTTTGATTCTAGGAAATGTTTATGCTGTTCGTTAAAATTATTCATTTTTTACGTAGATAAATCTTGCTAATGGTTCATACATTAAAGAAGTTGAACGTCAATTCACTGAATAATATTTAAATAGGTGCATTTATGGATGCAACTGGGAGCTATGACGCCTCGTTCTACCTGTCTGGCAGCTTGATTCTTATGTCAGCTGTTATCTGTTATCCGCTAAAGAGGATCAACATGTGGGAGAGGCGCGACGAGAAGAAACCAACCGCGATAGAACCCTCTGCATCCTGATTGAAGGCGCAAAACTGTGCCTCGTTCTTCATACTTCGCATGCACGAGCTCGTTCGCGCTACATATGCGTTGTACATATTAATGTATAATAATTTATAACGAGCGCTAGAACCGAGAATATAATTATATCGCACGCCTTCACGCCATAAATGGGAAATGATCGATTTCGTGCGTGCGATAGATCACGTTTGCTCGCGTTCAAGATAGCTTTAAAAGTAAAATTCGATTGTGCGCTTGAAAAATATTCTCATCTAATAAGAGATGCATAACGCGAGAGAAAAATGTTTTCCTAATACTTGCGTGATCTGCCTGTCAAAGACCTGACTGTTTTCTTTAACAGGGTATCTATTCCGAAGTGACTTAATATTTTTATTCATAATCTATCGTCTCGTAACAATAAATTCATTAGTAATTTTTGCATTTCGTTGAATTTCAATTTTTTTGGCATTTCGTAAATTTTTCCTCCTAATAAAAGTTTGGAAGAAAATACGAGTATAGTTGAATTTTAGATAATTCTATTCAGACTTCTTTTGTGTTTCTCAAAATAAAGAAGGTAATTTATCCGACTACTTCTATTCAGCTAATAAATATCTTATTGATTTATTCAACATATATTATTAAATATATATACATATATATTTCATAATATATAATATTTAATAAAGACGCGGGACTGTGGGTTGTAAATACGTGCAATAAAAGATCGCGTTTCATGAAATAGTATCCAGATCCAACGTTCATCTGCGTCTTCGATTAACGCTAAATAATATAGAAATTGTATTAAATAATGTATAAATTGCATAATGCATAAAAATTTCGTTTTAAAACGTTAATTTGTTAATTCTGTACTAAATACTAGTCGAAGATGACGATATATATAAAATTACTAAATTACACCGCAAAAATTTATTAATGATAAAACTAATAGTAAATATTATTTAAACACGATAGTAAAAACATCTATTTTTATTTGTAATTCTACAAGCTATAATGTGCATTATATAATTACATTCATATTTTTAAATTAAAAAATTGCATCATATATGAATATTTACCGATACATATTTTAAGATATAATCGTGTTTTTCCTTATCTATGTTTCTAGGCTATCTGACTCAGGAATATGAATAAGGTATACTGGTTACGTTTCTCGATTTCGAATGGCTTGAGTATTTCAGAAAAGCCAACTCTCACCGAGGTGACCTCTGGGAAAAAAGTTAAATTTAAAAAAATTATTTTATTATTTTTAAATATATTTTCTGTAATAAAAGAGTAAACAGATACCGGCAAATAATGATCATGAGACAAATATTTAACAGTTATTGCACAGATGATTATTAATTCTATCATTAGAAATTATTGCGATGTCACAATCAGTTTGATTGAACTTAAATTAGCATTTAAACGCAAGATGTAAACAGCGAAAGATCGTTGCCCCGATCAAATATTCTTTTCATTTAATAACGACACAGCCACGAGGCAAATACGATGGTCTAAATTAAATTCATTACGAACCAATTGTGATCGTTCGTACTTTGTAATAAGAAATGTCTTATGGAAGACACCAGAATTAAACATAACGTTGATATTTTAATTAGAATAATGTTGCATATATTATTTCTGTGTTGTTATACGATATTATATATATATTACGAAACTGAACTGCCATATATGCATCACATATTTTAGATCTTTACAAGATTTTAAAGTAAGCATTTGTATCATTCACCACTGTATATTCCATGAGTAAGAGTTATATTAAGCGAACAGAGCATGTATCTTGCGTTATGTGTACAATTTGAGTTATGTCCGCGTGCATCGAGAGATATTTGTACTTTTATATGCATAAGCATATATACATAATCTCACGCGTATCATTTCCGACATAACGTTGTTAATTTGTAAGACTATTGTCCGGTTTTAAAACTGATTAAATCTTTCACTGTGATATTTGTAATTAATCGAGAATTATTTTAATTCACAGAGCTTAATAGTTTATTTTGCGATGATAAATTTTCAACATTTTTTTGTACAGATATTTTTTCAAACATTTTATTACATTAAAAAATACCTACATTTTTTATAGATAATTTCATAAAGACTTTTCGTGCCTTTTAAAATTATACGTATAATGCGAGATTATAAAGCATTTAGCCAGTTTTAAAGCTAGTTGATTCCAATCAGGCGCCGAAATTATTAAAGACAATAATGATGTTTTATTCGTTAGACTTAAGAAAATTGCTCAAAAGTGAAATCCGTTCCTAGTGTTCCTAATTGTTAATACATACTATATATACAAACATGTTATATAGTATTTTCATAAAATTATGCGCACAGATTTTCAGAAATGAATTGCGCAAAAAACAATTCGATTGACGCCGAGGAAACGACGCCGTTGGTAGAAATAGATATGTACAATAAATCTATAGGTTAAAATACATTAAGAGAAATATACTTATCAATACAAAAATTGCATTAATTTCTTTTTTTATCTCTGTCCTATTTTATTCTTGCAAGAATACTAAAATGGAGAGCGCAATTATATTTATTATAATAGAATTGCACTGATTTTTCATGATATTAAAAAATATATATAGCCTCTTTTATAAAATTTAAAATCAATTTTTTGACAAAAATATTAAGACAATTGTTACTTTGTTACTTAAATGATAATAGTTTAACGTTTAAATCTGTAAATTGGTATTTAAGGCGATTCAAAGCGAATACGAGACTGACTCAGTGATAGTGCCCTATATGCTTTGGTGATAGGCTTTCGCCAATGCATCAAAGTCACGGAGTTCTTTCTCCTGGGAGGATGTGAATCACGCCGACCGCAAAATCATGAATTATCGCGCCGCGGCGTGGCCGCACACTAGTCCTATTCGTAATATGATATTCTGCGAGAACAAACATATTTACCGCGAACAAAGTGACGCATCATGTGCGCCAGATACATGACATGATACAGCAAAGTGGTACAGAAATGTAATATTGTTTTTCTCACGGTACGATGTGTGCAAAGTGCACCGGCGTGTCGCACTATTTACTACAGAAAATCGAATGCCAAATAAGGCACGTGGTAGAACTATTGTTTGCCGAGACGCTGGCTGGCGTATTTTAGTCACAATATTTCCAAAAGACAGCTGGCTGCCGTGCAAGACAAGATACGAAAACTAATGAAAATTCAATATCGAAAGCGATACAATGTCGGATAAGTACGAGAATGCAAGCAGAACTTGTATTTGTTAGCTTCTGCTCTTTTTTGATAAATTACATATCACGTATAAACAACATTATCTTTATATTTGTAAAGATAAAGTTGTTTATTGTGGGATAGAACGTTTTGACCACAAAATGCGTAAATAGAGTCTTTTAGTATTTTCAATGTGACAATCTCTTGTTATTGTCTATACTTTTTACATTTTTTTCTTCGATTATCACCTTTAACAATTTACCGTGTGGTTTCAATAGATTGGTAGTAGAAATCTAGATGGATACTGCCGTGTGAACAACCATAAAAGTGAATTGCCACTCGTAGTATCTACGGTTTCGTTGCTTCCTACTATACGAGGTCACCGACTGTAGCATCTTCATCAATATCGACGGGGCGTTTCTTTCCTTTTTCTTCACACGACAATGTCGAAGCATAAACTATTGCCGTTCGTTTAAGCTAGTGGTGTTCTGTTCTCACTATGACCTTCCCATTTTAACTTGCCTCCAATCTTATTTTCTTCTTGTAGAAAAAAGTTTCAATTATGAGCAGCGACAAGAGACGCTAAATTTTCAACTTTCTTTCTAATAACAGTTATAATAATACGAAATTAAACCGATGAGAATCAATTTAATTAAGTAAAAGAAATTCTGTTTTCGATCAAAGTGGATCTTAGTACTTATTTTGATGTGAATTATATAAATATCCAATTGTGCAAAAACCGCATGCCGAATCTTTTTCGGTCGATCTTTAATCGACAAAAGAATTTGTTTCTCTTTTAATTTTTATACTTAATTTTATTGACATTTTACTTTAAAAAAATGTAAATTATGTATATTATATAAATTATGTAAAAATTTAAAAATGTTGGAACGTTCCTGCTTCATTATAGTTTTATACCTCGCGCAATATCTCCTTATGTTCAAATATACTAGAGGTATTTTAAGTAAGTTTCGTGAGCTAGGATGCAAAATATACCGAAAAGATTTTTCTAAGAAAGAACATAAATTATTTCTTTCATTAAGAGGAGTTCACTTTCCACCTCGTGCGTATTCTAAAAGCCGACTTCGACCACGTGAAGTATCTCCGTAAAATTACGGCAATATTTCACACTTTTGTTTTCCAATCTGAATAAACTACCTCAAAAGAGAAGAAATTTCGGGAGACGAATTTAAATAAGAAATTCTACATCTTTTTTGTTAGTAAAATTATATATATAACAAATGACATACGTTTGAAAATTTTTTCCAATTTGTTGGACTTCTACATTCTCTCTTAATTTTACATTCTTGAATACATGACTATAATATTCAAGGAATTTTCAATCCAAAGAACGTTTCAATAAAAACAATGGAATAATTACCGGATTTCCTACTTTATTATAACGCAAAAATGCAGTATTTTTGAGATTAATCGCATGCTTTGTTATAATTTTATTTCTTTGTCTGAAAAATAAAAGCAAGTTTTTCTTTCTCCAAGTTGTTTCATTTTTTTAAATATCGTATATCGATTAGCTAAATACTCGATTAGTTAAACTGGATTTAAAGTTTCTTTGATAAAATCAAACTATACTTTTAACTTTAGATTTAAGGCAAAATTATTGTTTTCATGCAATAAAAAAAATCAACCTATATAAAAAGCCCTCTACCACCTTCTCCCATTTTAATCAGCAGCCCTCTGTTTTATATATATGTGGTTTATTATGCTATTTACTTTTCTTATATACTTAATTTGTTTTATGTGTGTCGAGATATAACAAAATACAAAATATAAGGATCCACAATAAAAA